CCCCAAAACCCCAAAACCCCAAAACCCCATGGCTTATAAATTATAATTTAGCAGTGAAATATTATTATAAATTATAAAATTATTTATTAAGAAATAATGTTAGATTAATTTGTTAAACTAAAATGATTATCAAAAAAAATTTCACCGTAAAATTGTTGTATTGTTCAATTTTACCTTAAATTTTCTTTTATTTTTGATGATAATTCAATATTCTTATCCATCTTTTAATGATCTTTTACAAAGTCAATAATTCTAATGGTGATGCTAATCTTTTGATTTTTTGGAATGTTAATGGCTATTTCTATGATCTTGCTTATGTTCTTCTTGAGAATGAATATTATCGCTATTATGGTTTGAAGGACCATCTTATTCTTTCTTCTCTTAATGAGGTTTATTATGTCCATCAGTATAGAGAGAGAGTTAAGATTTTATATTATGAATCTATTCTTAAACCTGACTTTGAGTAACCATCACGCTTTCGAACTATTGATGAAGCAGTTATACAAGTGCTGCTTGTTCTAATAAGATTTCATCTGATGGTTTTTGGTTAAGATGCTTGGCGTAGCTTAACAAAGTAAGAGCACTTTTCAATTAATCAACTACCTTCTCATGATATTGATCTTCCTTAGAGAAGCATTCTATCACCTTTTATACTCTTTCTTTAACATTATTATTTTCAAAATATTTGTGTACTACTGTATTCATTTCGGCCATTTTCTAAACTGTGTCAATGCCAATTTCTTTTTCATCGAGAGCTGGTGGATTGAATCTGAAATATCTTCCTAGCATAATTGGCTTGAAGAGCTCAAGAAGTTGCTCTGAAGTCTTTTACAAATCTAGAGCAAGCATATTATAGTATTCTAAGCTTCCATCCATCTTTCCATCTTCTTTTATTTAAATAAGTTCAAGTACTTTATCTCTAGCTGTTGTAAGCTATTTCATAGGAAATGAACTGCTTGCGTCATCATTATTTTCTTGAGGTGTCTTTAATCTTGGATAACTGGTTCCAATTGAGAGCATTCTAATATTTTCTATCTTAATTTTAGTTGATGCAAGAGCAAGTCCCCAAGCAGCTGGGTTGTTTGCGAAAAGTCCACCATCTATAAATTATCTTTCAACTGGATTAGTTTCTGAAAAATTTTCCTTCACATCTAATTCCTCCTAGAGTGGAGTTTTATTTACCAAAGTTTCTGGAATCTTATCTGAGACATTAGATGGTTTGAAGAATGTTGGTGCAGCTGATGTAGCTCTTGCAACTGATATTATTGTTTTATTGAGATCATCTTCATTTTCTGTGTCAAATATTCTTGGAGAAAACATCGGTCCATTTAGCAAATCCCGATGCTAATTTACTGCTGTTAACAAAAGTCTTACTCTGCTATTTCTTTATTTGAGATCGCCAAGAGTGGAATTTTCGCCGTTTCCAAATCTTAGAATAGATGCTGACTTTGGATCTCCGTAAATGAATTCATCTGGATCTTCTGAGAATAAATATTTTATAAATTGGTCTTCAAGATCCTTTTCGTTATAAGCAGGTTCGATAACCTGTTTGAATTATAATGGGAGGTTGAATGTTTTCTTATTGATCAAATCTATTAAATCTGTAGCGTCTAACTCGTCTTTAAAAATAATTGGCATCATTCTTGACATTGCATGAGAAAGTTTCTTGGCACTGTAGCCAGCAACTAATGCAATAGCAATAAGTCCTCCGACAGAAGTACCAATGACGCAATCAAAAGCATCAATAATCTTGAAATTTTTACCAAATTATTCTTTTCTCCTGAATTCTTGTTCAATTTATTCTAGGACTCTGCAAGTCATTAACCCTTTAACACCACCTCCATCTAAGGAAAGAATGGAGTATTATTTGTCTAATCTAATGGAATTAAGAGTAGGATTATCAATCTTCTCAAAAATTGGGTCTATTGAAAGTTACATGAATGGTATTAGATATTTCTATTAAAGATATTTTTCCTCGATTATTTAAATCACTAATTAAGCATGACGTCATGATGATTGTCTAGAATATATTAAAATCTAATCTTAATCTCTGATTTGTTAATAAAAATTGATTGCGGGGTTTTGGGGTTTTGGGGTTTGGGGGTTCACCCCTCGGGAGTACTCGGAGTTGGGCAGGCTCTTGGCTTCGGAAGG